ATTTAGTGCTCCCCTTCACCAGGTGGGTTATTATGTCCTTCAGGAGACGGAGGGGGTATTTGTTCTCCATGCTCACAGCATTTAACCCTTTATAGTCTACACAGAGATGAAGTGACCCATCTTTTTTCTCTTTAAATAACACCAGAGCCCCCACCTGAGATTTGGCCGGCTCAATGAATCCTTTTGCTAGGTTCTTGTTCATATATTGCTGCAGTTCATCCATTTTGAGTGGGGTCATGGTGTACATCCTCAGCCCTGGGAGTTTAGCTCCCAGTAACAGTTCAATGGTGCAGTCATTGGGCCGATAGGGTGGCAGGATGCATTCTTTCTCATTAAACACCTCCACTAGATCCTGGTATTCACTGGGGATGAGTGGCTTGCCTGGTTGAGGCAGGGTAGCTATCTTTGCTAACTTGTTAGATCGCCTAGACTCTCCAGTAACATCGACTGAATTAAGAGGGGGTTTGGGCCTTATAGGTAATCTCATAGTCCTCATTCCCTTTTCCCACCAAATAAATGGCTTCCATTTGCCTAACCAGGCTAGTCCTAAAATCACAGCCTGTCATCTTCGGAGCCGCCATGAAGCTAATGAACTCCCAATGTTCACCTATTTCTAAGCATATCGGCTCTGTCACTTATGTGACTAAAGTTCCTCCCATTATAGAGCCATTGGCTTGCTCAAATCTCATGGGCTTGGAGAGCAACCTTGCCGATATGCCCATTCTAAGGGCAAGTGGCAAGCTAATAATGCACCAGGAGCACCCTGAGTCCACTAGCACTCTCAAATCCACTCATGCACCCATCTTAGGGACTATGAGTTTGGCAGCGAGAGAAAAAGGTGGAACGGGTCGACTCACCATCGGGTCATTCTCCCCTTCGTCGTTGCTGCTGTAGGAGGGCAGAGTGGTGGCAGATCCAGTTTGGGCCTCGGCACTCTCCTCCATGGGTGATGTGAGTTGGGCAACAGGTTCTTGTGTGATCCAGTTTGACTTCTCTTTCACTGGCTGCTGGGCTGGTTTTTTCCTCACCTGTGGTCCCAATCTGCTTTGCTGTTGGGGATATGGGACCGGGCAACTTGCCGCTCGGTGTCCCTGCTGCCCACATCTGAAGCATTTGATTGGTGGACTGGCACATGGCTTGGGGGATTCTGCAGTTGCGATGGCTGGGGATTTTCGGTGAGGCAGCCACCTGGTCTGCTCTGGTTTACTGCAGGTCCCCAGCGGTTGTTGCACATTCAGGGGCTGTTGTCACCCTACTGCTGCTGCACTTCCAATGACTGCTGACCTCCCAGTGGTGGAGGCTACAGCATCCCCAGTTGCTGCAGACTCCCCAGCAGTCCTGATGGCAGCAGCTGCAGCATCCCCAGTTATTGCAGGCCCCCTAACGGTTGTTGTACATTCAGGGGCTGGTGCCAATCCCACTGCTGCTGTGCTCCCACTGATTTCTGACTTCCCAGTGGCAGTGGCTGTGGCATCCCCAATTGCTGCATGTGCTCCGAACTGTTGCTGCCTGGCCAACAGGTCACGCAGCTGTTGCATTATACCCTGTTGAACACTCACTTCTGAGTCTCCTCCTTGCAGAGGCCTCGGGCTTGGGTGGTGCTGGCAGTGATGCACAGGGCTGTGTGACCAATAGTAGTGACAGTCAGGGCTCTCACGGTACCTGTAGTGATCCAGACTTCTGCTGCTCCTATGGTGGCTCAGGCTCTTGTGTTGTGAGCAGCGCTCTGGGGTCCTGGAGGAGCAACATAAGTAGCTTTTTTCATTTTGTGTGGGCATACGTCTTTTTTCCAACCATATGTCTTTTCATTAAGTCTACTACTGTATTCCATCAATTCCAGGTTCTCTTGTCTCATCTATGTATAGTTTGTTCTAGTAGCCCACTTATTATCAGGTTGTCCTTGTTCCCCAATATCTGATGTGGATCTTGTTAATCTGGATGACATCCGAGTTGGCATGACTCTCTTAGTACTTGTCACTCTCATTTTTGAGCTGAAGTGTTAATAAGCCTTTGCCCAAGGAACTCTACTGGTAAAGTAGATACCAGCAAGAACTGAAACCTGGTCTTCTACATCAAAGACTAATGCTCTGACCACTACATTATCCAGCTGCACTATGTAACTGTTCTTTATAAACTCATATATAATGCCAAGAGTGCACAACTTTCTTATTTTATTCCCCCCTGAGCTGGTTTTTCCTTAATTTAGATGTTCAAGTCAGGTTTTAACTCCTGGCAACTTGCCTGGAGTATTGTATTCCCTGCAGTTTTCCTGGCAATTTTTTTTGGAAATGACTTATCCTTGCCTCCTTCCTAGCCCAAGAAAGAGAATGACTAGCACACGGTCTCCCAGCTGGCTTCATGCCTAAGGCAGAGCTAGAACTCACAGTGACCTGGTTTCTAGCCTGATGCCTTAGCCACTACACCCAATTTGCTTTCACTCAATACTTCAGTTACTTGAAAAAGTCAATAATTTAGTTTGTAATACATGTTGCTTTTTTAATTTCTCAAAGGACTCTGCACTTTTCCTTCAATTTCCATATTTTTTTCACTACCTAGTTTTGCTATTGATGTCATACACATTGCTTCCACCTCAGACAGTGCCCCCTGCTCAGTGACTGTCCTTGAAATACAATCGTCATTTGTGAAGAGTGCATCAATATCTTTGGCAAACAGTACATATTGTTCAAGGATACTTGCATTTGAAGGGGGAGCCCCTTCTGTAACACTTTCTGACTTGTTGGACCTTTCCTGCAAGGGTTTGTGTCTTCTCCAGTTAAATTGTTTTTCCAAGAGATGTCTACTGATAAAAAAAATTATCAGTGTGTTTGGTCATATTCTGTTTCTTGTTGATAATCTAAAGTGTTCCCTCATAAAACAAGGACAAAAAACCCCTATCTGATGGCACATTTCGGATTTTTGTTTTTTAAAAATAATAAAAAGGCTTATTACCATATTTTTTAGGATGTTGAAATACATAGGGATACCAAGAAATATTTGGATTCAAAGAGAATTCCTAAAATATCAACATTTAAAATCATGCATGAGTTTTAACACACACACACACACACACACACACACACACACACACACACATTTAAAACATACCTAGTCAGAAATAAATTCCACCATTCTGGGACTTTATTCGATATCAGTTTCTGTATTGCTACTTTGGTTCAATTTATGTGAATAATTTCTTGAGAGGTTCTTTTTGTTGATATGTGAATTTATCTGTGTGCATTTAAAACCTTTTTTTATTCTTTTCCAATGTGATGCCTTTTTCCCTGTAATCAACCATAATATTCTCCTATTTTACCTTATACTACTTTATCTTACACTTTTATCTTCATTTTATCTTACCTACTATGTTTTATTCTATCTCTCCATAGCTGTTTTATCTCATTTCGCTATATCCTATTTTATTTTATTGAATTTTGCTGTGGCTGATGCTCTTTTTTGATATGGTCAATTGACTAGTCAATAAAATATATTCTATCATATTTTAATAAATAGATTTATAATTTCCTTTGAGTTGACACATACCACTTTCCATCCCAAATTGGAGTAATAATTCTTTTCTAATGTTCTCTTGATAATTTATAAGGTAATAAGTGGTCTGGTTTATTAGCTTTCTCAAACTAGTTGTAATTGACTAAATCTATCTTCTTGTAAGTTTCATTTACTATACTTCTATTAGATCAAGTTCATTACAAATAATTTCAAAGTTTTATTTTAGATCCACCTATCCAACTGAATAAAGAAACTTTTGGAGTTTTGGCTGGGAGAAGCACTTTAATTCATACTGGGCCTTCAATTTAATATGATGGAAAAAAATAGCAGATCTCCAGTTTTTTGAACTGGAATGTCCTCAGTGCAATATTGTGATTATTGAGTTATAATCCATATAAATAAAAGTTTCAACTTTCACAGATGAAAGTTTAGTGAATAATGAGGTGGACCTCCATCCACATGTTTGTTTTAATGTTTTGCGAACAGAACAATAATAGGTATGTTTTTTTCTCTAAAGAAAAAATGCATTTTACCAGGCTTGCTGATACCCATTTCCTCTAACATTTTCACTTCCTTCTTTGTCATGGGAATGACTTCTCCTTCCTCTACTGAACTAGTGTAGCAAAACTGCTAGTCTGTCTCTAATCTGTTGTGGGAAAACAATCTCCTGGCTCTTGCTCCAACTTCTTTTTAAGCCTCTATTATCATCCTTTTGAGCACCTTCCTTCTTATTCACTCTCAGAGAAGGTCAGGATCTTGAGCATACTTTGGTAAGGAAACAATGTCTTCCTTCAGTTCTATGTAATCATGGAGGTGATCTCTTTAAAATACAAGTAGTCCTTGACTTATGAACACAAATGAGCCCAAAATTTCTAGTGCTAAGCAAGATAGTTAAGTGAGTTTTGCCCCATTTTGCAATTTTTCTTGCTACAGTTGTTAAATGAATCACAGAATAACAGTGTTGGAAGGGACCTTGGACGTCTTCTAGTCCAATCCCCTGCTAAAGCCGGAGACCCTATACCATTGCAGACAAATGACTGTCCAGTCTCTTTTTAAAAGCCTCCAGTGATGGAGCACCACAACTTCTGAAGGCAAGCCATTCCACTGGTTAATTGTTCTCACTACAGTTGTTAAGTTAGTAACACAATCTTGAATGTTCACCATAAAAGCTGTCCCCAATCCCTATTAGAAGCATCAGTGGAATGGCTGATGCACATGCTTTTTGTACTCTTTCCCCACTATTATTGGGGACAATAATATTAATATAGTCTCATTTTTAGTAACAGGACAGTATGTATAAACAATTGGATTTAGTTATAAAAGGAACAAAAGAATAGGGTGGGAAAGAAGAAGAATGGAAACTAGTTATCTCTGTTCCCAAAGCATTATGTAAGCAGACACTACAAAATAAACATAATGAACACACAACTTTGCAGGGGATTTTCATTTCTGTCGCAACTTGGAAGAGCCAAAAACATATGCTGACTCATCCTATTTACAGCAGGTTCTGAAGCTCTTGGCCTCTTTCTTCATAAATGCGAATTATAAAAAATCCTTGGATTTCTTCTGACTGGTTCATTCTTCTTGTGGAAAACCAACTGAGCTGCTGGAGACTCCTTCTGTCACTGCATGTATGTATGGTTGTGTGTTTTGCATGGCTGCTGTATTCCCTCACTCTATCTTACTTATTTTAGAGAAGTTATATGTCTTCCTGCTCCATGATGCCTTCCTATCCTTTGTGATCTATATTATTTTTATTGTATTTGAACTAGGAGTTCTCTGGGAAATGGACAATCAATTAAAGCTTATTATTATAAAAGGAATAATCATATATAACAACAGTACAAAGATAATATGAAAAAATATAAACTAACGTACAAACCTTTTAGAAACCAATCCCCTAAAGCTGCCTAGAAGCCAATGAAAAATAGGAACAGCAATAATAAAGTCAGTGAATAATAGTAAGCAGCATGAGACCTAAGGAAATTGGATCCTTGGTTTGCAGGGATTCTTTGGGATTCCCTGCACTGGTCACTGGTGTCTCACCTAAAGTAACCGTGGACTTGGATTGTTTATAAAACTATTTTTCTGCATGCAGAAATTGAGATGTAGGAGCTGGGGGGGAGGGCAAAATAGCCTAATGGTATTGGGGGTACCAGCAAGTTGCTGAATTGGTTTGATTTTGCTTCTGGGAGGAATACACAGAATCAGTTGGCTGGATACTAAAGCCTATCAATCCAGGTTAAAAGCACCTTTGACCATTCCATCCTGTGTTTGTACTTGTATTATCCAAAGTCACATTCTTATACCTTTTCTATCAGCCCAGAGAATTCCTGTGTTACATCTATATTCCATATAAGTAAGCTTTCAGAAACTGAGGACTAAATTATAAGGGTTATATTTGTGATTGGTTTCTCTCACTTAAAAAAACAGCAACTGTTGTTTGGAAGGAGAAAAGCAACATAGGAAGGACCAGTTGGGAGCAGTTGCAAAGCAAGGGTAACAATTCAACATTCTGTTTGTCCCAGAGACTTGAAGTTAAGTATAGTAGAGCTCTGAGTCTATGCCAAAAAGTCTCACTAAAGAATTGGAGGAAATGAACCACACCATATAAACAGGTTATGAATATGAAGGGGAGACAAAGATCACAGAAACAAGAATTGGATTTTTTTCTATTATGGAAAAAGTTTATAAAAACAGAGCATTGGTCCTATTTATCAAATTTCAAGCAATACCAGTCTGATACATCTCACTTGAGATAAGTGAAAGATAAATACATGAGAAGATTTTTCTACTTCTTAAGGCAATTGTTGCAATTTGAAAATGTGGGCAAGGAATTTTTAACCAAATTATGCTCATACTAACAGAATACATTAGGTGAAAAAATACCAAGGATTTGCGTTTTACAGTGGATACTAAAAACCATAGTTATTGTTTATTTCTAATAACTATTGGGACAAACTTCTGGCTATTCCTTATTGCCTTTTCATTTGAAGTTGTAATTTGAAAAACTTATTTGAATCTTTCTAAGAGGGGGGTCTTATTGAATTAAAAGAAGAAGCTGAAGGAAGATAATTGATTTGCTCCATCTGCTTGTTTGGAGACTGTAGAAACCGTAGGGGAAAAGACCAATATATGTATGTAGCCTTGAGTTGTGAACCATTCATTTAGTGGCTGTTTGAACTTACAACAGCACTAGAAAAATGGACTTATAACTGGTACTCGCACTTACAAATGTTGCAGCCTCCGTACATCATGTGATCAAAATTCGGACACTTGGCAATAGGAATGTATTTATGACAGATGCAGTGTCCTGGGGTCATGTGATCACTGTTTGCGACCTTCCCAGCCAGTTTCCAACAGGAAAGTCAATGGAAGAAGCCAGATTCACTTAAGAACTGTGTTATTAACTTAACAACCAGTGATTTGCTTAATAATCATGGTGAAAAGTTGTAAAATTGGGTGTGACTTACTTAACAACTGTCTTACTTAACAATGGAATTCTTTTCTCAGTTGTGATTTTAAGTGGAGGATATGACAAACATGGCAGCAAAACGTTAGGCTGACTTAAAAATAGACTGAATTTATATTTTTACAGAGCGACACGGATGTGCCACTGCTGCCTCCTAAATTAAAATGAAGAATTTTCCAAGTGTGTTAACTGATTAAAAATAAACTACAGAATCCTGCACGATTTTTCCAGACTTTCACTGGTGGGAGTACAACTGTAATCTACTTTGCCTATTTGTACCACAAATATTAGTTGGACAGGCTGTGGTTATGTGTTGTTTGCTGCATATTGATTTGATTTGGTCAAATTTATATTGCTTGTAAAAATCTGTGGGAGAAGAATAGCTTGTTCTTCCTTGTTGCAGAACAGAATGGCCAAAAGAGTAGCTATCCTCGGGGCTGGGGCGAGTGGCCTTACAGCCATTAAATGCTGTTTGGATGAGGGTCTTCAGCCAACCTGTTTTGAGAGAAGTGAAGATATAGGAGGGCTATGGAGATTCCAGGTATGTTTTCTCATAGGCAATATTGACTGTTCTGTAACCACCCTATCTACTAGTCTCACTAGAATACTTCTTTTTTGTTGTCCTCAACAACCAAGTATTTCTTTTTCTCTCAGCAAAGAACATTTTCTTCAAGAATCTCCTACTTTGGACTCTGCTGATTAGGGTGACATTTCCCTGTTTATCTGTCAAGAGATACCTAGTTGATTAACTACTAGTTATATGGATGGGAGAGAAGAGAAATAGGTAGATAGTAAATAAAAAAACAACTACCTGTCTTGTAATATCCAAATATGAGATAACTGAGCTACCATTTGATCATCGGTGCAATATCAATAAGATGAAAAGTAATAATTGATGTAAGATTTGTATATAGCTGGGGAGCTTTTGACTATTTAAATATTTGTATTCAGATTGTGCACATTTTTAACTATTATATTTAAAGAGAACTTTTGTGCCCCAAATCTTCTGATTCTATATTTTAAATAAACAGACTTTCAGCAGCCTCTTTGGATTATTTCAAATTAACACAATGCTATATGAACAGATGTTTCCTTTTTCGTAAATCTGAAGTGCTCTAGAAATAGCCAGCCATACTCTGTCTTTTTGACCAACAGATGGGCACAGAGACAATATGCTGGGTTTTGCTTCTCAGTTTATGCCAAAATGCAACTATTTTAGGTATATAGTAATGCATATGTGCTTCTATGTCTGTGTGCAGGCATGTAGTTCTAAGTCTAAATATTTAGGTTTGATATGACTGTTCATATGTCTAAGACACTGTCTTAGCTGTGTTCAGTCATTGTTCATGAATTTTTCTTTTTTACTGTTCTGATCATTGACCATGGTTAAATAAATAGTTAATAGTTAAATACATTGGAATTTGATGTGTTGTGCTATTTTTTCATTTCCAATATGGTATATGGTCAGTTGTGTTTTCAAAGTAATATTGGGACTTGAAAACAAACATAAATAAGACAAGAAATCATAGCGAGGATTCATAGCCAACAATTTAGGCCAGTGATGGCGAACCTTTTAGAGACCGAGTGCCCAAAAACCGCCACTGCCCCCCATCCTGCCCTGCTCCTCCCCCACCCCACCTCCATCCCAACCTCACTCCGTCCCCACCGTGCCTGCCCACAAGGCCACTCACCTCCACAGCCTGCTGCAGATCACCCAGGTGGCCCAACAGCGCCATGGTGGCCATGCCCTCTGCCCACGCCCCGCGGCATCAATTACGCGCAATGGGGCATGAGGGTGGAGTCTTGTCCCCGCTGCCTAGCTGCCATGACGTTGGCTATGCTGCTTCATGGGGCCGCACTCGGGGGCGATTCTCCTCAAGGGGGACTGCTGGTGAGGAGGGGGGCAGGGGGGGAGGCGGGGCTGGGGCAATGGCACGTGTGCCCACAGATAAGGCTCTGAGTGCCGCCACTGGCACGCATGCCATAGGTTCACTACCACTGATTTAGGCCATGGCCATATTAATCTGCCTTCAAGATAAATATCCAGAAAATCTTGTCTGTAAAACCCATCTTATTAATATGACAAATTTCTTGCAGGAACATGTCACTGAAGGTCACAGCAGCATTTACAAATCATTGACTACAAATAGTTCAAAGGAGTTGATGAGTTTTAGTGATTTTCCTACTCCTGAGGAATACTCAAACTTCATGCATCATAGTAAAATGATGGAGTACTTTTGGATGTATGCAAAGCAGTTTGATTTGCTTAAGTACATACATTTCAAGGTAAGAAACTGAGAATCAAGATTTTGCTGGGAGAATGAGTGGATATCTTGGCAGTAAATGTAGTTGCAGGATGCAAAATGCAGTGGTAACTATAAAGAGTCCTATAAGAGTCCTTCAAACAGCTATGTCTTATAAAATGGTCTTAGCAAAGTATAATGGTGAAAGTTCAGAAGATAAAACTCAAGAAAAATATCATTTCTAAGAATTGGTTTTTATGAGCATTAACCCAATTACCCTTCCCCACAAGACAATAAAACAGCATTCTTCATTATGTTGCTGCCTATAACTCTCTTAGAACTTTGCCTTTTTACTAGAAATTTATTAAAGATTATAATTACAACAATAAAATGTTACAAAAGTAAAAAGAAAGAACAGAAATTTCAGAAAAGAAGAAAAAAGAAAAAAGAAAGAAAGAAAGAAAAAGAAAGATAGGAATATAGTAAAAAAAACTTTTCTTAACTCTCTGAGAACTTGGGAATATGTCAGGTAATGGTTTCTATCTGAACAAGCTCCTGCTATCCAGAATCTTGGATAATTCTGTCTCATCCTAACCCAGATTTTGGTATTTTTAAGAAAAAAAGACTGAACCTACAATCATCTGTATCTAGAGTTTTCTATTAACTGTAAACTTATTACACAAAGTCATTTGTAATTGTTTATAATTAATAATTAACAAGTAAATAACAGTTCAAACCATCATCATAGTGCTTCTAGAAGGGGTTCTTAAATTTTTTGACCAAATTATCCTTTTCCTGGTCTGAATAACGTCATTTGTTAAAAAGCAAAACTAACTCAGCCTTTGTTGTTTTATATAAGCATCTCAGACTAGATCACAAACAAGTTTTTACAAACTGTTTCATTATCCCCAGGATATGCTCATATTAAACCCTTGGGGTAATTAATCCCCAGTTTAAGAACCATTGAATCACTATAAATATGTGCAAGGCAACAGATTTGATCAAGCAGGCTAAAAGTTACAGATCATTCAGGAGTCATCGAGAGACCTTGTAGCAGATATGAGAGACTTTCAGTTTTTTGTTTATTAGATCACTCAAACATTCATATGCTTGATTCCTAAGGGACACCTGGTTCCATGCTCCATTTGAGTATGTGCATAAAAATATTTTCTATTCTGGAACTGATGAAGTCCAAAGAGGAATATCAACAGTGAGAATTAAGCAAGTATATTTCTAGATATGCTGAATCAGCCTTGTTCTCTATCAAATCTTTACTTCAAATGCTTCTTTTATCACTGTGGGTGTTTTTTTTAAAAAAAAAATCATAAAGCTTAATCTAAAAAGAAATATCTTTTATCTTTAGGCTCAAGTCTGCCATTTAAGGAAACACAGAGATTTCCCCATCACTGGACAGTGGGTAATTGTAACAGAAATGAATGGGAAGCAGGAATTGGCTGTCTTTGATGCTGTTTTAATTTGCACAGGCCTCTATGTACAACCTTATTTTCCTCTGGATTTATTTCTAGGTAGGCAATTGTGATTTTCTTATAAGCTAATTGAGAATGCTGATTCAAGCAGAACTTGCAAAACAATAATACTTTTCATTCCATTATTCATTGGGAGTAAACTCAGATCTCTTTTAAATTGAGTTCAACACCTGGTGACTTCCTAGACATATTCACAGAGTTTTGTTTTGTTTTCCTGATTTGGTTTTTCTGATTTTTATTCAGTGTATACATACATATATACATACATACATACATACATACATACATACATACATACATACATGCAGGTCTTGGCATATTCGGGTCTTTTCCCATGTAAGATTGAGAGTATCTTGGCGACATTTTGATGAGGTCCCACTCGTCATCTTCAGGCTGGGGTCTTCGGCTTCATGCTTGTGCGAGCAAAGTGTGATTGGAGCTGCCATCTCTCTATAAATATTGGTGGGTGGGTGTGGAGTGCTGGCTTAGTTGCTGTAGGTGGGTTGGTTGACTGTGTTGGAGTTATTATCTGCGGATTGTTTGGCTGTTTCATAACATCCTGAGTTGTTGAGGTGCTGGCTGTGTGCCCATTAGTCTTTTGTGTTGTAACGTAAACCTTTACAAGCTTGCCAATATCACTTCTTGAGTGAAAAGCATAATTCATGGTCATTAGCTTTCTTGTTTTCTTATCAATATGTCTAATTAATCTTGAGCCCATATCATATTTTTTTTAAAAAACTACATTTTTTTTCTATAGAGGTTAGGGCCTTTCATCCACACAGCAATATTGGCTTTCTTGTAAGCCAGTTCAGTCTTTGTGATATTTAGTAAGGCGTTTCAGTTAGAGTGCTAATTTTTGGCAGCAGGTCTAGGGCCATGAGAGAAAGGGAGAGAGAAAGAGATTATATTTAGTATATATTATTTAGGGTTTCTGAATCCAAATTACTACAACCTAGACAGAGTGCTCTTACTAACATCGTATACTAATAATAAGAATGCAAAGAGTTGGGCTTTAGTGTTATTTCTCATCCCAACCTTGAAACTGCAGCTAACTATCACTAATCCCTGGTTATTATTTAAATGCTGCAAGAGTCATCATAATTATGTCCAATATTTTGGGTCATTTCTGACAATTGTATGAACAGGTATCAAAAATGGGACTTCTCAGATAGTAATGTGACATTAATAGTAATTTAATCATCTAACCATTTATTTATTTATTTATTTTATTTATTTATATGCCGCCCAATCCCAAAGGACTCAGGGCGGCGTACAAACCATGACAATTCATCTTAAATCCAGCATCTATACTGATAATTTTTTCAGTCTTCCAATAAAGATATGCTTTGCTCAGCATTGCAAAAAAGACTCACTATTTTTTTTCAGGTTTTGAGAAATTTAAGGGGAAAATTATTCACAGCTGGGCATATAAGAATTCTGAAAAATACCAAGACCAACAAATCCTCATCGTAGGCTTGGGAAATTCTGGAGTAGAGATTGCTGTTGACCTCAGCCATATCACAAAGCAGGTATAGTGTATTTAAACAAGTTTTGTTTTGAATCTGATGATAATAGCAAGTTTTGAGCTCAAATACTATTGGGATGCATTTGTTGCTTGTGGGGGAATAGCATTTCAGAGACTAACTCAATCAATTAGTAATACATGTGAATGCATTATTAAATTATTCATTAAATAATTAAATTATTAGTAATATCTGTGAACAGTTGACCTTTTGTCAGTAAGACTGGAGGGCTTTGCAATACTTTTCATTAAATATGCTTTCCTTACTGAAAGATAGTCCTTGTGGCTTGGAAACCAGGTAGAAGAGGAACATCAAAGGTTGAAAATAAGAGAAGGAACTCATTATTCTTCTCTATCTCTTTTTTTTTTTTGCTGTACTTTTCACTCTCAGGAAAAATATATTGGAACTCACTGTCCCTTGTAACTCAATGGAAGGAGGAATGGGCTGTTGTGGGTTTTTGTTTTAATTTTTGCCAAAGTAAGGAGCACAACACTGAAGAGAAGAACCATGTTCATTGCAGTGATCATTAGTGTACCTACTTTAAAAGAAAGAAGAATCCTGAACCCTGAAAAGCAAAGATTTTTAGAGATTGAGGGCTGCAAGAAATCTCAGGGATCTGATTTGCTGGCTAGTTTGGGGAAGCTAGACTTTGTTGGTGTACTTGGGATTACTTTTATTGTAGGCAGAATGGGCCTTTCAAAAGGGCAGCAAAGCCTGAGGAAGTTAATTATGAAGGAGATGGAAATTTGGGGTTTCTCTAGGTTGCAAGTTCCTTGAAAAGGGTTTGCCCTTGGAACGTGGTGTGAGCATGGGAGGAGGCTATTATTCTTGGTCTAGATGGGATTGCAGAGGCCTTTGTCAGAGACAGGGAGAGTCATTTTGGTTCTGATGGGATTAGGCAGAGAGAAGAACTGGTTATGACCTTGGCCATATCCAAAAGATGTGGGAAAGGGGTTCAGACTCCATTTTGTTTGCTAGGTTTATGTTATGACATAAAAGTTTACTTTTTGCATTACATTACAAGGCTGGGGAAAGAGTTAGTGCTGATTTCTCTTTCCCCTCCCCCAGGTCTTTCTGAGTACTAGAACTGGTGCTTGGGTGGTGAATCGAGTCTCTGATGGTGGATATCCTTTTGATGTAGTGCATTTTACACGTTTCAAAAATCTCCTTTTCCATAAACTTCCTGTGGTGCTGATAAACCAATGGGGAGAGAAGAAACTGAATATGAAATTTAACCATGAGAACTATGGTGTAAAACCCCAGCACAGGTAAGGGTGAAATTTCTCCATACTCTGACACTTAGGAAGACATGAAATATACATATTAAAGTGAATAAGTGTTTTCCGGTGAGACTGGTCTAGAAGGGCAACCTGGTCTACCCCAAATATGGGACGGAGCATACTGCTTCTGCTTTTACCTTTCAGCCCCAATCTAGGAGCCTTCACAGACAGTCACTTCTGCGACAGACTATTTGTGTGTTAAATTTAAATTTACCAACAAAGAATTAAAGGGAGCTGATGAGAGCTAAATAGTTCAAAATAGCTATACTAGTCTCCCTTTAATTCTTTGTCAGTAAATTTAAATTTAACATTAAAGTGAATATTAACCCCATTTTAGGAGCAACATAAAAATGGAGAAAGTACTAGTCTCAGCTCTGAATCTTGGAAATATTCTGCAGCCCCTGTAGCATACGCAATGTCCTCTTTCCTACATATATTTAAATATTTAGTTAGAGCCTCAAAGATTAGAAACATTTTTTTAAAAATGAAACCTGACATTCTGGTTTCTGTACCTACTTCTGTATCTTGTGACTTTTTTTCATTTATAATTTTTTTTTTACTTTATATACTTTTTATAAAAAAGCTGAAAGCCTGCATAGAAACTAATCTGACATTTTCAGCTCTTCTGATTCTAGCTATGGTGGCTGTGAAAATAAAGGTGATATTGTCCAAAGGTGCCCTGAGAAAAATGCACTTCCAGAGTTTCTAGACTAAAGCTCCATTTTCTGCCATTTTTGTACCTGCCATTTAATTATTTTGCAGTAAAATATATTCCAAAAATGTGGCATTACATACAAAAAAGATGTGAACAAGAATATAAAAAAGAAAACAATCAGACCAAACTGTTATAAAAATGCAAAGCCAGTAAAAATATATATTGTATACTCAGTGGTGGGATTCAGATATGTGAAAACCGGTTCTCTGTGTGGATGCTGCTTCCGGAAGTCCATTCTGGGCCTGGGCAACAAAAAATTAGCTACTGCTAAAGTAGTGTGAACTGGCTGAATCCCACCACTGTGTATACTTGATATAAATACATGGGTAAAGAACAGGAGTCTTCAAAGAGTGCCTGGCTGAGGAATTCTGAAAGTTGAAGTCCACAAGTCATAAAAGGGCCAAGTTTGAAGACCCCTGGTAAAGAGAATACATCACTGTACACTGAATTACACTTCTGACATAAATGAGCTTTTCTTTTACCAAGGCTGTGCTTTCTTGGTTTGGTTGAAAAACATCTATGATGATCATTTACTGTAGTTTGCTTATCCCCCATTTTTTTTCAAACGATCATTAAAGGTAGTAAAATATGGCCAGTGTGTTTTTTCTTCATTTTGCAGGTTCCTAAGTAAGACCCCAATTATAGGAGATGATCTACCAAATGCTATAATTGCTGGCAGGGTGGTAATGAAACCACATGTGAAGAAGTTCACTGAAAGAGGTGTGATCTTTGAAGATGGTAGCACAGAAGAAAATATTGATGTGGTAATTTTTGCTACAGGATACAACTTCTCCTTTCCCTTCACTCAGGATACTATCCTCAGGACTCAAACAAATAAATTCTCACTATATAAATATGTCTTCCCACCACACTTGGAAAAGCACACATTAGCTGTGATTGGCCTCATCAAACCTATAGGAGCCACTATGCCTATATCTGAGCTCCAAGTTCGCTGGGCCACAAGAGTCTTCAAGGGTAAGAGAGAATCTAAAAAATTAAAAAAAAATATTGACGTTTTGCTTGATTTGAAGGTTGCCACACTGATGAATATAATCAACTCTCTCTTTTGTATAAGAACAACAAAGCTATGTAATATATCTTTGTGTATCCGTGAAGGTAGTCTTCATCTCTACTAAATGTTTGCATATGACCAACATATTGTTCGTGTAACACTGAGGTAGGGAACTATGGTCTTTTTATGACTTGTGGACTTCAACTCCCAGAATTCCTGAGCAAGCCATGCTGGCTCAGGAATTCTGGGAGATGAAGTCCACAAGTTATAAAAGGGCCACAGTTCCCCACCCCTGGTGTAACATAATATATCCATATAGCAAAGAGACTAACAAGGAAATTTCTTGGAATTATCCCAGAGTGGACTATCAGAAAGGCCAAATGAGGACTAAAAAAGAGACATGGCGAGGTAAAGTATTACATGGCTAGTACATTAAAAAAAATAGCAGGCAGAGATGATGACAACATGATCTGCCACTGGCTAAGAGAGGCTAATTCTGGCTGCACAAGATCAAACCTTATGAACAAATCCATACAAAGACAGAATTGAGAAGACAGCAACAAACAACAAATGCTGCCTCAGTAAAGAAGCTGAAGAAATAGTGGGCCACTTGGTTAGATGCTGCAAGATCACACAGATTGACCACAAAAAATGGCATGACAAAATAGTAACAATGGTACATTGGAAGACCTGCAAGAAATATCATTTGCATGTAAGCAAGAACTGGTGGGCCATAAAATAAAAATGAAGAAGTTAAAGTGCTGTGGGACTTTACAATTCAAGCAGACAAGTACTTCCATATAACCCCCCAGACTTTGCAATTGTTGGTAAGAAAGACAAAACAGTCTGGACAGTACTTTTTGCAGTACCTGGAGATAGCAGAAAAGAAGAGAAAGAACTGGAGAAATTCACAAATATGAAGACCTGAAAATAGAAGTAGAATAACTATGACAAAAGAAAGCAAAGATAGTACCAATAGTAATAGGTGCCTTGCGTGTAATGCCATAACATTTGGAGTACCACTTAAACACAATTGGTATTGCCAAAATCATCATTAATCAGTTGCAAAAGGCAGCTGGTTTAGAATAGCTTATATTCTGCGACGATGTCTTTAATATTATTACACAACAACATTTGCCTGTCCCAGGTACTTGGGAAAGCTTGATAGGTGCACAAAAATATCTGGCTGATTATGCAACCAGCCATAATAATAAATTCCATAGGATTATGATGGCAGAACTTGTTATTATTCTGGCTCCATTGGAAAGGTTATTAAATATCCATAGAAATCCAAGACAAAGGCTTGTTTTAATAGAAATGTTTTCCATGTTCTGAAAAAAAAATCCCTATAATGCTTTCATGTTAGATCATATAACAGAATAACAGAGTTGGAAGAGACCTTGGGATCTTCTAATCCACCCCCCTGCTCAAGCAGGAGACCTATACCATTTTAGACAAATGGTTCTTCTTAAAAGCCTCCAGTGTTGGAGCACCCACAACTTCTGGATGCAAGCTGTTCCACTGGTTGGTTGTTCTTACTGTAAGGAAATTTCTTCTTAGTTCTATGTCTTCTATGTACTACAGAAAGGCATAGTTCATTTTTCAAAGGGAGAATTTTTCATAATAACATTTCATTTTGTTACTTGGGAATCATTTTATAAGAATCAGTAACCAAGGAAGAATTACAGTATGCAAGTGGAATACAAGTGAAATTCTACCAAAATTGTTCTGCAATTTTAAATAAGATCATTTGAGCCCTGATGCACTGCAAATGGCCCTAGGACCAATCACACCTGGCATTAAGTAAAAAAAAACAAACTATTGGGTAGTTGGTCTGCAAAATACTTCTGGCTGAGATCTTGTAAAGTTGCCAGTAGGCAGATAGACTAGACATGATTAACCAATGGTCTGACTTGGCATAACTGGCTTTGTTTAATTCTCTTGAATCAAAGGGATTAAACTCTCAGATTATAGTATTGTGTGTGAGGTATTTATTGTCTGAACAGAAACATAAGTTCACTTTTTCAAGCCAGAACACTTTTATATTTGAGTAAGAAAGTATAAAATTAATGAATGTGATTGCAGGAAGTATATTGACATCTGATTTAAATGGATGGGAGCTAAACGGGAGTGCTTTAGTGCAGATTATGCCCATGATAATCTCAGGCATAGTTTACACCGAAGTAGTAAAGCTAACAATTGTGTTGAACCAGTTCTGTTCAACAGAAAGCTGAGATATGCAGAAAATCTATGTCATGCTAATTAGCTAGTACTGAGCTAGTTCATCTTTCAAACAAAACTGGTGTTTCCGAGCAGGAGGCTAAGTGCAGTGGTTCTAAATTACCAAGGAATATGTCTGAATGCATTGTGTCATACCTACGCAGAAGCAAGCCATCACTGTTCTAAGTGGCAGAATATCCCAGAAAGCCTGCATTGGATTGCTGTCTTAATAGTGGGTAAGGCTATCAGATTTGATCTGCAAACATCTACGGCCACAGAACATTAGATAAAATCCAATTTTAGTGTTTATCCATCATCCTACTACTTTGGTTTCTGTCTGGGAGTCAGGAGAAGCCACGTTCCTTCTTCAGAAAATTCTCCTAATGTTTTGCTATAGAACCACAACATTTTGCCCTTTATTGAAATACTTTCATTTCCAACATATCTGTACACGTAATGAACACAGTGACAATCTACTTCAGTTTCTCTATTCAGTTCACAATACAGTATGTTCTGTATTTCTGCATTGCCTGTCTGCAAATTGTTCTGCATTTCTCAAGCTACAAGGGACACCAGAAGATTAAACTGATATTATTTTTCAAGCCTAAACAAGTTACCTTCAAATAATGACATGATGGCTGATATTGCTAAAAAGATCCAGTATAATGAAAAACGGTAGGAAATCAATTATGACATATAATGTGCTTATTTCTCTAGAATGTTGGAACTGAAAATATTCTGGCCTTGTATATAAAATGCTTGTGTGAATAAATTATAGAATTTCAATAATAAATTCACCCATAGGATGCAAACTTAGTAAAGCTACATATTAAACTTATTTTATACGTTTATATTTATATTTTATAAATTTTATACTGCTTGCAGAAAGGGATGAGATATAGATTGGATTAGGTTAGATTAGATTTTTATTTTATTTATTAATAAAATTTATATAGCTGTCCATCTCATCAAAGGCGACTGTAATTAGATTAGATTAGTAAGCAGGCGTCACATGTCCTAAAATTAAAAGTGTTCAAGTTCTATTGTAAATTCTTTATTTCAGCCATAGTCCAGCATTAGAGAACAAAACTGAAGTTTACAATTCATAAATGATCTACTTCTAGACGATAAAATATAGACAATAAAGTATTAGTATTACTATCACAACTCTTTGATATTTTGCAATATTTACATTAACAGTAGAAGGAAGATGAAACATATATAAAACAAAGACTTCAACATGTTAATTGATGTGTAGAACAAACTGCTCACCACCTCAGCTCAACTAGAATTCTAAATATCTGGATGTGAATTGGTAGAGGGGAAAGGAAGAGGAAGCAGGATCTCAGGCAGGAATTGGGTTGGACTAGAAGACTTCCAAGAGCTCTTCTAGCCCTATAATTCTATGATTTTATGATTCTATGATCTGGTCTTCAACAGGCTAATTTACCTTTTGCTCTTAGGCATGCAGCAAGCCACAACAATTTCTTAATAGTGCACTATATTGATTACATGGATGAACTGGCTTCCCTATTAGGAGTGAAGCCCAAGCTGCTGAGTCTTCTTCTGACTGATCCAAAGCTGGCCTGGGAAGTATATTTTGGGACTTGTTCAGCTGCTCAGGTCCGTCTGACCGGTCCTGGGAAGTGGGAGGGAGCCAGAAATGCCATCTTGACCCAGAGAGAAAGAATTATCAAGGCTACAAAGACACAGCCTCTGCAGTCCTCTACAACTCTAAAGTAACTTTGGTTCCTTCTTTCTTCATTAAAGCACTCATCTGTTTGGGACTTCTCACTATTGTCTTAACTTACCTCTAATTTGAATTTGTAGCAGCCTGAAAACTGCTTCTTCTCCTGCAAATAAACTTGTTTTGAGTGGCATATTTCAACCTGAAATTTCAAATTATCAATATCTATGTTGAATATCCTTTGTAGATTACATTACTTCCAATGTATCAATAATGGCTTGTTAAAAATTGGAACATAATTGAATACAAAGTATTTCCACATTTGTTTCATGTTTTACACCCTACACCTCTGTTTCATTAATATCTCTACAGCTTGTATTTTTTCTAATAACTAATGTCTTACATATGAAATATCTACTTTTACACCATTGTCCTTTGTCTGGGGCCCTCTATAGTTCTCTAAACTCTAATTCAGTGATTCTCAACCTTTCTAATGCCGTGACCCCATAATACAGTTCCCCATGTTGTGGTGACCCCCAAGTGGGTGTGGCCACCAATAAGAGGGAGTAGGACAGCTAGGGAAAAGGGAAAAAAATGGCGGACAGCATGGTTTGGCGACCCCCGTGAAATGGTCATTTGACCCCAAATGGGGTCCCGACCCACAGGTTGAGAACCACTGCTCTAATTCAATGGAATTAGAATGTAATGGAATTTCTGAATTTCAGAAAAAAAATTGAATTTCAGGTAATAATGGATTTCACTCCAATTACTAGAAAAAAAGTCCATATTTGATGATTTAGTCTTGAAAATATAAATTTTATTGTACGTAGAGTCTTCATAATTTTGGGTACATTTAGTGTATATTTTATATAAATATCAAATGTTCGCCACTTTGAGTTCTTTATAAAAAGCATGGACAGCATCAGATGGGTTGTATCTCACAAGGATTAATAAAATATATTTGGCCAAAATGTAATGAGTTTGCTTTGGGGAGTTCTAAACTGAATTCTTGGGTGGCAGAAATGAAAACCCTGTTTGAAGTAAAGATGTCAGAAAGGAGAGCTGCTGAAATGGGGACTCTTAAACCATTCATTGAACAATAGAATATATGCTCATTTTATGGCCTTCATTGTCTATATGCACTAATGGTCAAACTATGGAAACAAACAAGATAAGCACTTAGTATAGTAAAGGCAAATGTACTTGAAAGATATAATGGCGATCTAGAGCAGTGGTCCCCATCCTGCCAAGACGTCCTATTGAGCTCCAAGAAAGCCAGGAAACAGGAATGCTAGACCACCAATTGCTTTTAATTGTGCTAAATGGAAACAAAGTCAGCACTGGGAGTGACTTGCTCCCAGTGCCTTACATACAGTACACACGCCCCACCCTTAGCCTGCCCCACCCTCCCCTGGCCCAACAAGCCACCATCCGGGCAGATAGAAATTGAACCGTCCGTCCAGCCCCTAGCCCCTCCCTCCACCAGCTGTCACCAAACTGCTGTTCCAGCTTTAGTCACCAGCCAGTCAGCCTCTGTTTGCAGTCCCTGTGGTGGCTGCCTCCATCCGTGTGTCAAAAGCAGCAAGACAGCACACGTTCTCCTTCAAGCTGCCAGCCTAGCGCAGCGCCGTTTGTTGGCCCAACGAGGCGCTTGTGGATGACGTCACCAGCCACGGCCCGGTGAGGTGCTTTAGGATGATGTCATCACCACGGAGTAGCAAGGAGCAGCAGCTATGGCGGCAGAGCAACAGCATGGGGCCCACAGGTCACATAAGTAGGCCTCGCAGGGTGCGACATTCGGCTCTCCCTACCAAGGGTCCTCCTGGAAGGTACAATAAGTACAACAGGGTCAGTGATCATGTCCCTTTGTGGTAGCACCCTCTGGCTACCCACCCGGTTTTCCAGGGAACTTCCGATGGTACCTGCTGATCAATCAGGGGGCAAGCACCATAGACTGGCAGTAGTGTGGCAGCAATGGGGAGAGGGGCTGGTTTCACATGCCCACCTGCCGCTTGTGCAAATGGAGTTTCATGCATTCACCCACCCCTTGCACAGCCCAGTACCCTACAGGCCATGGACCAGTCCCTGTCCATGGACAAAGGGTTTGAGGCCCCTAATCAGTAGAGATCTCCCTCCTCTGACATTTATTTATTAGTAAAATTTATATGCCGCCCAATCCCTAGGGACTCAGGGCGGCGTACAAAATTAAAACAAGTATAACAATTAAAAATGAATACATTCACACAGCATGTCCCAATCGAATCCCGCCCCCCCCCCGGGGACATCAACCCCAGGCCTGCCGGAACAGGAGAGTTTTAATAGCTTTCTTGAAGGCTGGCAAGGTGGGAGTAGTTTGAATCTCGGGGGGAAGTTGATTCCACCACGTTGGAGCCACCACAGAAAAGGCCCTTCCCCGAGGGCCCGCAGGCCGACATTGTCTGGCCAACGGGACCTGAAGGAGGCCCAATCTGTGGGACCTCACCAGTCTCTGGGAACTATGCGGCAATATGCAGTCCTGTAAGTAACCTGGTCCTAAGCCATGAAGGGCTTTAAAGGTGACAACCAACACCTTGAATTGTGTCTGGAGACCCACAGGAAGCCAGTGCACCTCGCGGAGGATAGGTGACACGTGGGTGTAACTTGGTGCACCCATAATCGCTCTCACGGCTGCATTCTGAACCAACTGCAGCCTCTGAACGCTCTTCAAGGGTAGCCCCATGTAGAGCGCATTACAGTAGTCCAGTCTTGAGGTGACAAGGGCATGAGTAACCATGAGAAGAGCCTCCCGGTCCAATAAGGCCGCAACTGGTGCACCAGGCAAACCTGGGCAAAGGTCCCCCTGGCCACAGCCGATAGATGTTGTTCCAAATTTAGCTGTGAGTCCAGGAGGATACCCAAGTTGCATGCCTGCACTGAGGGAGGTAAATTCCCCCCCCCAGGACTAATGATGGACCATCAGAAAGACCCTTGGGGGGCAAGACCCAGAGCCACTCAGTCTTGTCAGGGTTGAATCTAAGCCTGTTCACCCCCATCCAGACCCTCACATCTTCCAGGCACCGGCACATCATGTCGACTGCTTCACTGAAAGGACATGGGGTGGAGATATGTAATTGGGTATCATCCGCATACTGATGATACCTCACCCTGTGTCACCGAATGATCTCACCCAGCGGTTCCATGTAGATGTTAAAAAGAAGGGGGGACAGGACAGAGCCCTGAGGCACCCCATAATCGAGGTGCCTAAGGGTCGATCTCTGTCCACCCACAAACACCAACTGCGACCTGTCAGAGAGGTAGTAGGAGACCACCACAATACGGTGCCGCCCACCCCCGCATCAAGATAGAGGAATGACCCCTATCTCGGGCTTGCCAGAGGTCATCGGTCAGTGCGACCAAAGCAATCTCAGTGCTGTAGCCGGGCCTGAAGCCAGATTGAAAAGGGTCCAGATAATTCGTTTCATCCAAGGATCGCAAGAGTTGGGATGCCACCACATTCTCTACAACCTTCCCCACAAAGAGGAGGTTGGAGACAGGATGAAAGTTCTTCAAAACAGCTGGGTCCAGGGAAGGCTTCTTGAGGAGGGGCCTCATCACCGCTTCCTTCAAAGGTTGCGGGAAAGACCCCTCCATCAAAGAGGCATTGATTATCACCTGGAGCCAGCCTCGTGTCACCTCCCTACTGGCAGAAACCATCCAGGAGGGGCACGGGTCCAATAAACAGGTGGCGGCATTCATCGCCCTCATGGCTTTGTCCACTTCATCAGGGGTCACAGGCTCAAACTCACTCCAGATAACATGACTAAGACCAGCCCCGGCATCTCGGCTGGCACTGCCCAGTCGGAGTCCAGGTCCCTCTGAATCTGAGCGATTTTGTCCAAAAGAAACTGAACGAACTCCTCAGCTCTCCCCTGCAAGGGTTCCTCTGCCTCCTCCACTTTAAGAAGGGAACGGATCACCCTAAACAAGGCAGCTGGGTGAGATTCTGCAGACACAATAAGTGCGGAAAAGTGAACACGCTTTGCTGCCCTTGTCGCCACTAAATAAGTCCTAAAATAGGCTCCTAATAGTGATCAGTCAGATTCCGAATTACTGGCTCTCCAACATCGCTCTAGACGTCTCTTGTGGTGCTTCATCTCCCAGAGCTCCTCAGTAAACCAAGGCGCCCTCCGGGGACCACTACCACAGAGAGGTCGCAAAGGCGCAATTCGATCCAGGGCCCCGGATGCCGCCTCATTCCAGGCTGCAACCAGGGACCCAGATGAGTTGTGGACAAGGGAGTCAGGTATTTCCCCAAGCTCCTCCTGGAACTGATCTGGGTCCATTAGACGCCTGGGGCGGAACCACCTAGTCGGCTCCACCTCCCTGTGGTGGGGGAGTGATGCTCTGAAGTCCAGCCTCAATAGGAAATGATGTGTCCATGACAAGGGAGAGATCTCTATTCCCCTTAGTTCTAGATCATGTCTCCACTGCCCCGAGAGAAACACAAGGTCGAGTGTGTGACCACCACTATGAGTCAGATCCTGGATTACCTGGGTCAGGTCCGTGGGTGCCATGGAAGCCATGAACTCTTGTGCCGCCTCTGAGCGTTTGCCGAGTGATGGCAGATTAAAGTCCCCCAGTACCATAAGTCTGGGGAACTCCACGCCAACCCAGCTACTGACTCCAGCAGCGCAGGCAGGGCTGTTGCAACGCAGCTGGGAGGTAGGTACGTCAGCAACAAGCCCAACTGAACCCGTGAACCCAACTTCAATAGGAGGGACTCACACCCAACAATCTCCGGGGCAGGGATCCCACGAGGACTCAGGGACCTCTGAGCGATGAATGCCACTCCCCCACCCCTGCCCTGATGTCGAGGCTGATGAAGCACCAAAAACTCATCTGGGCACATCTGAGAGGGGAACACCCCCCTCAGGGCCCAGCCAGGTTTCAGTTATACATGCCAGGTCCGCCCCCCTGTCCAATATTAGATCACGGACAAGGGGGGCTTTGTTGACAATGGACCTGGCATTAAACAACAGCAGCCTACAACTAGGGCCATGTACTCCCCTGTCTCCAGTACTACAGGATGGGCCTTTTGAGGGGCCGGAACAAGGAATTGCTCTAAGTGTTGTTCGCCCTCCACCATGATTGGAGGTGGTGGTGGGGAGATTTTTGGCCGTAGCAATGACTGATGCTCTCTTTTCAGCAAGCTGCAATGAAAAAATGGGTTTATTTGCCTGAGATTTTTTGGTAATTCTAACTCTACTGTTACTGGCTTTATGATTCTTTTAATTGGAAAAGGCCCTATATATTTTGATCCAAGTTTTTTACAGAGTTGTAGGGACTTTAGTATTTTGTAGATAAGTACACCATTTCTCCTATAATGAATGGTGTAGGCTCAACCCTTTTTTATTGGCTTGTGCTTTGTATGCCTGCCTAGCTTCATCTAGTGCTTTTCTAACTATTGGCCAGGTGTTTTGTAATTGTTCCATCCATTCTTTCAGTGATGGGATTGCCGGTTCGTTTGGGGTTAATTCTGGCATGGGGTTGAAACTTTGACCGGTGGCTGTTTGAAAAGGAGTGTAACCTGTGCTGGAGTGGACTGCATTATTTTAGGCAACTTTTGCGAAAGGGAGTAGGTCTGTCCAATTTGTTTGCTGAAAATTAATAAAACATCTTAAATATTGCTCAAGTACTGAGTGACAACGTTCTGTTTGTCCATCCCCTTCTGGATGATGGCTAGATGTCAGTCCCTGAATGCTCCCTAAAAGGGACAAAAATTCCTTCCAAAATGCAGATGTAAATTGCATTTCCCTATCAGAGATGATGCGTTGGGGTGCCCCATGCAATCTGTAAATGTGCTGGACGAAAAGTTTCTCTAAGGCTTTTGCGGTGGGAATCTTTTGGCAAAGGATAAAGTGCACCTGTTTGAAAAACAAGTCCGTGACCATCCAGACAACAGTATTCCCATTGCTTTCTGGTAATTCTACTATAAAATCCATGGCTATTTCCCTCCAGGGGGCTGAGGGATTTGCCACTGTTTGTAACAGTCTGAGTGATTTCCCTTGCAACCTCTTTGCAGTTGCACACTTTGGGCAGCTGGCCACGTAACTTTCTATGTCCTTTTTTATGGATGGCCACCAAAATTGCCGTTTAATTAAGTGTAATGTTTTTACAAATCCAAAATGCCCTGCTGATTTTGTGTCATGGCAAAGCTGCATGAATGT